GTCTGCCTTTTGTCTCCGAGGGACGTTCATTCTGTGTTATGGTCGTCTTTTCCAGAGACGGTGAGGACAAATACACATCTGTGCTGCAAGAGGGCCTCCACACAACCCTACAGAGCTTTTTGTAGACATCTAGAATAATTAATCATCTTCATAAATACCGACTAATTTCTGCAAACCAATATGGATTTCAGAGAGGTAAATCCACTGAGTCAGCTTTACTTAACATTCGAGGAAAACTTATCAGCAATATAGAAAATCAATCCTACACTATAGGCATCTTCGTAGATTTCAATAAAGCTTTTGACTCTATCAAGCATAATATTCTCTTTGATAAACTGCCACACTACGGAATTAGAGGCATTTCACTTAAACTATTGCGCAGTTATCTGACAAATCGTAGCCAGTTTGTGGTAGCTAATAGTATAGAATCGGACACTGAACATATAAAATTTGGTGTTCCGCAAGGATCAATATTAGGACCTATACTATTCCTTCTTTATATCAATGACATTGTTGCTATCCCCCATACGCCAGACATAGCACTTTACGCCGATGACACGAGTGTTTTTTTTTCATCCAGGGACCTATCATCTCTTATTCCTGTCACAAACGCATGGCTCAAAAACTTATCGAAGTGGCTTGATGCGAATCAGCTGCTTCTAAATGTTAACAAAACAAAATATATTGTTTTTTCCTCAATTAACAGACCAGTTAACCTTACTACCGAAATAGTATTCCAGTCACGGTCACTAGAAAGGGTTACCGAATACAAATTCTTAGGCATACATTTTCATGAAAACCTTCGCTGGACATGTCATGTGAATTTTGTGAAGCGTGACATCGCACAGTCTATTGGCATGCTGAATAGATTTCGTGCCTTATTACCAATGTGGCTAAAACGTCAGCTCTATTTCACTACTGTTCATTCTCGACTGCACTATTGTTTACTTGTCTGGGGGGTTACATCTAAATGTAATATGACTAGTTTGTACTTAATGCAGAAAAAAGTATACGATTTATTGAAAACCTATCAAGCCGCGATCATACATTCCAATACTTTGAGAAACATCGTATCCTGAATATTGAGGCACTGTATAATCAACGATTGTCTGAGGTTATATTCTCCCAAGTTAAAACTGACCGTGAATTATTCCTTTCTACATATACGAATACTGATACACACTACAATTTTAGAAATACAAACTTTATAAAAATCAGAACCAGAACAAATTACGGTACGCAATTACTATCTTGGCAGATTCCCAATCTTCTCAACCTCCACCCTGGCTTGATCGATATAATCGATCATAATTCAAACCTCTTGACTTTCAGAAAAAAATCAAAAACAATATTTTTTACTTTCCGCATAATACTGTGGTCTTCTAAATTATGTGTACAGATGTAATTGTAGTAATGTAGTTCATATATTTTTGTTGCATGTTGCGAATTATTTATTTTTCATTGCAAGAGCGTATGTAGTGTAGTGATCTAGTTACTGCGTATTTTTTGTTTTTGTTTATGGTTAACTATAGCACTCTACCACTAGTCTGCCTGTTGCATCTGCTGCATCTGCTGCAAGTGTAGTCTGGTGCTAGGGGCCTGGTCAGGTGACTTACTGTCACCTTTTGCCTCAGCACCATGACAATCCTGTATTGTCAAAAGTTCCAATAAACAAACAAACAAACAAACATGCCCCTACAGTACAACTGGCCCGACACTTTCTATTTCGTCCCCTTGTGCACTTTCTGGCGCAAGATGAGCTAAACTGAAGCACGAGTAACCTTCTAGCTTGCTACCTGTTCAGTTGGAACCCTCAAGCTACGTCCCTTTTCCCTTGACGGCCAAAATTTGAACGCAGGCATGGTTACTGCGGAATACCAAAAGTCTGCCTTTTGTCTCCGAGGGACGTCCACTTTGCACAGCCAGGATAACGCTGTCCGCAGTCGTGCTGGGACGTCCTTGCTACGGCTTGGCCGACACATTTGTTTTCTCGGCTTCCGTACTTTCCCCACGTCGGCTTGTTTCAAGTCCAGCTACAGCATTCTTGTCGAATGGTACCTGTGAATTCTGAAGGCTTGATGTCGACCTGTATTCTCTGCACAGCCCCCTACGGGGTTCTGCAGAAACCCCCGTCTTAGTAAATCACGTAGGTTTTCAATGAAGTGTGTCTCCACATCTTACGGGGGTGGGCAAGCAACACCGAGGACACAGTCTTCTTGTCTGCAGTGCCTCTTTATTCTCAGACACTACAAAACCCCACGCCACTGTTCAAAGGCTCGAAAAATCAGGACTACCTTCAGCTTTTGCGTTCGTACATAAACTTTGACACCAGCTGTGTTAACCAACCTGGGCTCGTTCATTACAGGAGGAAAGCAAGCACTCGTATCAAAAATGAATCGTCGCTCTAGCACTCTTCGTTTCCTAGACATGAGCAGTACATAAAAAACAGCCGACTCTCTTATTAGGCCAACATTAATGTGCTTTTCTGGTTCAATTATGAAATAATCGCAATAGAACCATTTGTATTTACTGTGCAGGCCGTTTCTTTAATGCAACTTCTCAATTACCTAAAAGAAATGGTAATCTGAAGAGTCATCTTTTTTCACTAAAAAGAAACAACAAAAAAAAAACAGAAAAAACACCAGAAATGAGCCGAGTTCTCCGAGCGGTTTTATTAGGTCGATAAAACAACTTTTGCGTTTGCTATCTCGAAGAAATTTGACACACAAACACTCCTACCTGGTGCGACACCCTTTCCCGACAATTGGATAGCTTAATGGTTTTCTAATTCCGAGCGAGCGGCAGCTCTTTGAAGTATATCCATCCACTTGTGCTCGGGACACCCTCCCTGTTGATCGATGAGTCTCGATTGAGATGAGCTGACACGGTTTCACTGCACACACATGTTCCTATGATGTTGTTTTCACGACCACAATCGATGAATGCACTCCAGCGGTCTTGAATATCATCAGGCGAACGATTGAACTTGGTCGGGCTTGTTAATTTCCGAGCAGAGTCCCAAAACCTGTTTTCGCGAATATAACAAGTTCTAGACTAGCTGGAGCGATGAAATTTCAACAGTGCGTCTCAATTCAGAGCGCGATCATTCGCTGCGAATTAGAACTTTCTAGCTATCGTAGTTTTCTTTATACGAGCATAGGTGAAATCAAAACATCGTACAGTGAAAGCCTTACTTTCACGTAAACTTCTGTTGATAACTTTCTTTTTAGAATACCTACATCGATGAGACGCGCCTCGAGTGTTCCTCGGAACATAATCTTACTCCCTGGTTAAAATAAATGTCCTAGCTAGCCTACTTTCCGAGCTTCGTGCGATTGAATCACCTCCGGTTGCGAGCAAAACACGCGGCAGCCATTTGCTTTTTTTTGCAAAAACCAAACCAGAACCACGAATGGGCGGTAAATTTCTAAATACTTGACCTAAATAATTTAAACTTGTTGTGGAACACAGGTCTCGACGACATCGTTTTCAAAAATAAGACGATTCCCGTAATTCTAAGTTTGGTTTTATTAAACCAGGGCTGTGTTTCAAATCTCACCCTAATAAACCCGAGTTACTCGGGCGGATCGTGTCACGTGACAGCAGAAGTGAAAGAACGCTGGACGCAGGCAGGTTTCAAAACGCCAGGTGTACAGAAGCTTTACCTCGCAGTATGATTTCGTTAATTTTAAAACACGGCCAGGAATGAATTTTTTTATGAATGAATAGATAGATGACCCGTTTCGAATGAATGGATCCATGAGTGCGGCTGAGCAATTCCGACCGGTCGGTAAATCCCGCCACCTGGTGCCTTTTGTTTTACCATTGAAAATATTGAATTTCTGAAATCTATATTACGACCTTCAATTTACGATATCAAATGGGGGACACTTGTTCCCAGCCGCCCCTGGACTGGACAGAGACCGATTTCTTTTCTTGTGTGATGCGAGTTTCGCGAAATAAACGGCGTTTGAAAGTTTTCACATCGAAGCCAGCCATTCGCTTTCCTCACTTTAGGCACCGATCCTTTCTTCGATCTCGCTTCATTAATACTGGTCGTATCTCGTCACCGCTAGCACCGATGCGTTCCTTGGTCTTTCTAGACTCTACGGACACCACTTTGAACGTGTGTAATAAAAGGTTTCGCGATGCTACGACGCTTTTACCGTGGGCATGGTCATGGCGGCCAATTGTACTTTCCGAGCCTGTGTTCGGACCTCCGAGGCTGAATTTTCGTTTCCGAGCCGCGATGTTGGTGTCAAACGTGAGCACGCGTTCCGTAGAAGACCCGACGACTGTAGTTTGCCTCGGATCGAGTCGATAGTTTACTGTAGGAGCACTGATGCGACTTCCCGCACGAAAGCAGTCATTTTCGTGTTCGATATTGCTCACGGCTTCATCATATGCTACCACAATTTGCTTTTTTGTTCTGAAGCGCTCCCTCGGGTAAAAGGAACGTTCGCTATGCGCGCGCGATTATTTTAATTCATTCATCTCGTGCGGCGCGCGCCTTCGCCGGAGCGGGTCCCTATCATTTCGTCGAAACTCGTTTCGTGGAATTACGTTTCGTGGACAACTTTTCGTGGACACACGTTTCATGGACACACGTTTCGTCGACACTGTGACGTTTCGTCGAAAATCGTTTCGCGGACAGCACCACCCTGACACGTTTCGTCGACAAACTTTTTTTGTGCGTGTGGATTGCAGTGGATTCTATTGGATTACTGGCATTTCCTCTGCTCGCTTTAAGTACACCGGAAGTTGTGACAGCGTTCGTGGTTCGCACCAGGCAGATCTCGTCAATTTTAGAGAAAAAACCTATTTTTTCTTAATCTGGAGGAAACGTAAGTGCATTCTATTGTTCAAGCATCAAACAATTTTACAGCTTTTTTTTTTTTTATGTGAGGCAGAGGAAACCTTTTTGAGATTTAATATGTTATTTCGATAAATATTTGTTTGGTTTTGGGTTTTCCCGTCATTTCATGATTTCATCACGCACAGCTGCTTGCCTGTGTTTACATCGGCTCACCGTCGCGGCTGGTCTACTCTGCGAGGAGCGACTGAGACGATCTTGACGCTTATCTTAAGTACCTTATGCGATTAGAATATCGTGAACCACACGAGAATCGTCGTGTTGGTAAGTTTGCGTGTTAATCTGTTTTGCACTTAAATACGAGCTAAGGCAACCTGTGCTTCCAGTACGAGCGGGCTTCCGCCCGCTACATTACCATCAATCCATCCATCCAGCTGCCTTAATTATGCTGAGCAATGCTGCCTGGGCGCATTCCGAAGCAGGAGCTCGCGCACGCTCCAAGTTCACGCGATGACTCGCGCTAATGTCAGGGCAGCTGAAAGACGCCCCCGTCTTTCCTGTATTTCTCCTCCGAACTGATGGGTGTTAGAGATGTTTTGAAATCTTTAGCAAGCTTCAGTCATGTGCTCAAACCCGATAAACCTTCGAAGCAGGCGGCAATCAGTCAAGTGGAGTTAATTTCGTCTTAACGTGAACTGGTGTTCCCCGATTTTCGCTAGTAACACTTTTAAAGTCTACATGACTAACCAACCAGTTCAGTTTGGCTAGGGTCAAGTGATCAGTGTAACCATCCAGTCACTCTAAAAACGTGCAGTCCCACTAGCTCGAACTTCCAGAGTACATTAAACACTTCTGGTACGGTGCTCATTTGATTTACCTGCACCTCCTGCACCAGTGCAAAAACGTGTAGGGCACTGTACTTTCGGTATTTGTATTGAGATACGACTGGAAGTGCACCGCCCTACACTTTTCTGCACCGGTGCAGGAGGTGCAAGTAAATCGAAGGAGCCTATACACCTTTCCAAAAAACACTCGACCCCAGGGGCAACAAACCGTTTTCGAGCCGAGTCACTTAGTTTGAGGCAATGTTACTAGAACCCCTCAGTTGGGAAACTGCCATACAGACTGCTCTGAAAAAGTGGCCCCAATGTCTCCACAAGAACCGAGCTAATGGCAAAAACAATGCCGCCATTTTTCCCGCAGCGGCCACTCGAGGAACTGTACGTTACTTCTATTTTGGCTTTAATCGGCCATTTTGGTGCCGAAACAGATACAGCGGAAGAGGTTACAGGGGTGCCACCCCCGTCTCCCCAGCGAACGCGCCGCAAATTTCTGCCGAAGTTAAAATGCACCTAGGTCGGGACGCGCTACCCGAAAGGACCGCTGAGGCATGGTTGTATAAAAACAATATTAATTGTTCCGCAAAACCTTGCAAACTAAAGATTATAAAAACATCACGTGCCCATCATTCTGTACTAAACTCCAACAAATTTCATAGAAAAAGAGTCTTTTCCATTTTATTTATGCAAAAACATGCTTTCTAAAAGCTCAAAGTGACCACAGTACAGACAAATGATAAAGAGTGGCGCTGTTGTCGTATTTAGCTCGGTCTCGGTGGACGCCACCGGCCCAAGTTTCGACGGTGAGTTTCCCAACTAAGTGTTCTAGTAACATTGGTTTGAGGCTAGACTCTCACCGGCATCCCTCCTAACCCTAACCGAGTGGACTGTGATTTCAATAGGCGCAGCCTGCGTAGGCGCAGTTTCAAACGCTGCTGGCGGCTAAATTCTCGTCTTTTCCCGCTATATTTTGTATTTCATGATACATGTATTTTCCCGAGGACATTAAGAAAGCATTGTGCCACATTAAAAAAAAAATAAAAAAATGCAAAAAAAAAAAAAAAAAAACTGTAAACGTTTTGTTCGGTACGCGCGCGACAGAACGAATGCGACCGGAATGTATAGTTCTAGTTATGTTTTTTCCTTACGATAAGTTTTGACGGTGCCGCGGGATTTGCCGCATGTGAAACGACAAAGCGATTTGCTGAAAAAAATAAATTGCAACAGAAGAGGGCCGAAAGGCAAGCATTTTTCACGCTCACAAATAATGTGTTTACCGGTGAACAGGACACGGACATACAATTGAGGAAGTGTTAACATTCAAACAATATATCCTACGTACCACACGATGCAGCGTTATCCGAAAAGAATTTATTTGAGAAAGATCTCAAATAACACAGTCACAGTCGACAGTCAGATCTTGACGATCGGACAGAATCCGGGATGACTTTGTTTTGGGGCACGTTTTGGGGAGAGCTTTTTTTCACAACCGCACGAAGGCAAAGAAACAAACGCGACTGACCTGTTTCTCACCCCAACCCGGACAACTATTTTTGGAGAGGACCGAGGATTCTACGTAGATTATCTCTTGGAGGGGGAGGGAACAATGTTCGCAAAATCGCGTCGAGGGTCGTTCGACGTCCTTCACCTTCTTAGTTTCCCGTGAATGTCGAGCAGAAAAGCTTGAATGGCAGGCACATACCAGCCTTATTTCTCACAGTGGAAGATAACACAGAAAGGGTACGCAGCACGCATAAAAAAGTAAGTGGAAACTTTCAAGAGGGGCAAGAAAACGTTGAATGCAAAACTGCAAAAACGTAGGTAGAGAACCGTGCTGAGCGGGTCTTCACAGTTCCAGAGAGTCGCAGAAAATTTCTAGCTGATAGAGGGCGCGAGAGTCACACCAGCCGCATCAGCATCAGCAACATGGCAGCGGCCTAGGAGCGTTTTTTGGAAAGGTGTATACCTCTGGGCATGCACGTAGCCAGGATTTTGTTTCGGGAGGGCCCACCCATGACAAAATGCTGTGTGAGGGGGAGGGGGGGAGAGGAGGTCCCAGCAAAATGGAAAATATTTTTTTGGGGGGGGGGGGGAAGTGGGCCCCGTGGCCCCCCCCCCTGGCTACGTGCCCGCCTCTGGGGCCAAGTATTCTTAAATAACGTAGGAAAAACAAGTCATTTTAGCTGAGCAGTTTTAAAGTTGTTTGTTCATTCAGCTTATATGTGTGGGGCATTCGAAATTTGACGCATATATTGCCTCAAACATACTCATGAGGTTAACTATGTTTTTTCTTGGCAGGTTCCTATTGAAAGGTGTGACGGTACTGTTCTGGCTTGTGTATCCAAAGTAATTCCAAGGCACAAGTGCCCATTGTGTGACCAGGACTGCAAAAGAAGGCCCCCATCGCCCCAATCAATCGGATATTATCACGTGAGAATGCTATTTACTTTCAGGTTTCCGACAAATCAGGGTTGGCCAGTGCCCGAATGTTAGGATTGGTGCTTCAAAGTCAATCAGTGCAGGATGTTGGTCGTATTCATCTGGAAGCCCGTTTGTTGGGGTGTTTCTAAGATATGTGCAGTGTTTTCAGTGTATTGATGAGCCTAGCTCATTGTTCCTAATGTATAGCAGTCTCAGATGATAGCTATCCTTCTGTTACTATGATGCGTAAACCACACGTTGATGATTTATCGTGCCAGATGAGTTGAAGTCACTTCTTAGTTGACACACAGCTGGCTCATAACCTACGTAGGACCCTCCAGTAAATGTGGCTTTATCACTTATAAATTCATTCTGATCCTGGAACTATTAAAGAAGCTGTACAACAGTTTTAGTGCTTTGCTTAAATAATTTGGGAATTGGTGTCTCGACCTCTCTGAAGTAGAGAGCAAAAAACCGCTTTTGCCTGCGTGTCCTAGTTTTTATTTTAAAAATGGACAAAGATTGAGCTTTTCGGCGCCTCTCAACTCCTTCACCATCTTCCGAGTCACGTGCACCTTGACGTCAATGGGGGTCGCACGGGGTTCCGGTGAAGCTCTCTCTAGAGCCATCAGTGAGCAGCGAGAACTCATCTGCTCGCGACTGCGTGACCACGTGCTGGCACAGCACGAACAATATGGTGAATGAAGGAAAGTCTCATCCGGGTCTGGCCATCCCTGTACGACTCTGTCCCCCTCCGGCTTCTGGCGGCTGTTCCCAGTAGCAGATAGAGCCGACGGTTTTGTGGACCTAGGATAGATGGCGCCACTAAAACTCCGTATAATAAAAGATTTGTCGATGATACCAGGTTTTTGACACATTTATATTTATGTTGAAACAACAAGATTTATAGAAAAAATACCTTTTATCGAGCAGGTATTCGCACAACCTACTATTTTTCTACAAACCCCCATTGACGTCATGCCTCGTCGTTCTTATGGCCTCGACTTGCGGCTGCAGGTCGGGTAATATTCTAATTTTTGCCTCGTGATTACGCGGCGGAATCGCAACATTTTTAAGGAAAAGGGTTTTTTCTGTCCTTTTTGACAAGATGAACAATATCAAAAGTAGAAGATGCCGATTCTTTCAACGTTAAAATCGTTGCACAGCTCCTTTAAAGTCTGTCAGAACATTTTTTTTCTCTTTGTTTCTATTAGGTTTTGGAGTGTTAGTGAAGTCTTGCCATGTGTTACTAATTCCTGAGCTTGCCATGAAATATATCTTCTTAGCAATGGACAATCAAAGGTGTTGTGAGAATAACACGATGCAGAGCCAGTGGGTGAATTAATAATATCAATATTAATCATCCTATGCATTAAATACAACTGTCGGGCATTGTAACACTGGAGCATGGGGAGGGACATCACAAATTTAAAGCTGTGTTCAGAATTTTGTTTGTGCTCTCCCTCTTTGTACTTCAGGCCGGGGTTACAATGTCTTCTCAAACGGCTTGTTTGCATAGTCACTTTGACTGTGTATCTTCAGTTCTTGAATCAAAATGAATACTTGTATGTCAAACTCACTTTCTTCAAAGGTGACTCTTTAGGTCTACAATGAAGACCCACAATAAAAAAAGCAACTGAAATCTGTTTGAGAACACTATGAATTTAAATCTTTATTTACATCAACATTTTTAAGTCCTGTCTATTTACAGGTTGACTGTGAAAACCAGTGCCCTATGATAAATTACAGCAACATAGAAGGAACAAAGGAGTAAAAAGCATTTTGCTAAAAAAAATGTAAAAAAATAAATAAATAAGCCATCGGCCCTTTCTTTTCTGAACCATATGCCTGTGTGGCTTAGAGGAGAGCATTACTCATGACCTCTAGGTACTCGCGCACTGGGAGCTCTCCTCGTCGCTCAAACACTGCCCTGATTTTTTTTTCGCGTTCGACTGTGGCTTGGCGGGCTGCTGGCAGCTTGCCCCCCCCTCGCACCAGTTCCATGAGGGCTTTTGTCTCCTGCTGCTCACCCCTGAGCACCGACAGGAACTGGTAGAGGGGAGGGTGTGCAATGCGCATCAGCACACCAAGCCTCCGGTGCCATGCCTCTGCACCGTTGGTACCACGGGGCAGCTTGTTTCGCACCAGCTCTTCCACCGACCACAAATCGGGGCTGAACAGGGGTGGGCTTCTCAGCCGGATGCCCAGCCTTTCCTTGGTTTTCCCAAGGACATAGTAGTCCTCGAACCATCGGAGCAGCTCAGCAGCCTCTGGTGGGAACGTTGCGCTGATTTCGAGGTAGGCCTAAAAAAGAATGGTATGAAACTATTAAAGCCAAGTAATTTTGAGGAACGAAAAATTTGTGTGATTTTTTTTTTGTGCGATTCTCTCTTGTGCGAGGGAATGCTCCAGGCTAACTCCAAGCAAAGTATGTCTTCTCCCTCATAAGTCTCAGTATATATCTCTAGATGTGTTGTTTTTCATGCTTAAGTATTTTTTTTTAATTAGTCTGGATTCAAAAACACAGGTTTCCGAGCAGTGCGGAATTTTTTTGCCATTTTATTTTAGATATTGAGGAATCACACAATTGCATTGGTTCTGCTTTTAATTTTTAGATGCGGAGCATCTCTTGCTCGGGTCTATGTCCCGTGGCGTCGTAGTCCGCACTCACACTACGCATGCGCAACTCTTTTCCTTCCCTCTCTCCAACAGCCGCTTGTTACTCTCTCCACTCTTTCTCTCTACCAGCTACGTGCACTTCGCGTGCGTTCGCTTCTACTCACACCGCGCGTGCATGCGCAACTCTCCTCCTCTAGTTTCCTCTCCTTCAAGTGTGAATATAAGCAGCGGTAGCACGCTGCGTGCGTTCAGTTCACCCACTGTTGACTCCACTTCACTCCGTTCTTCTGATGAAGTGTGATGGAAGCAACAGTCCCGTCAGTTAGTAGGTTGACGCAAGCAAACGTCAGCACCACCCCACAAACTAACACCGTTAATAACGATCCGCGATGCTCCGCATCACCCCATGGTTCCCCTCGGGAAGATGGTATAATTTTTTGTGTTTGTTTTTTGCTACATTGGATGCAACTATTTGGCATTTATTTATTAATGCAAAAGCATCAACTATCCCATGGAGCAGAGCCGGCGGCATCTCTAACCGCGAAGGAAACACCCATTCTCCAACTGGCTGAGCGAAACGGCTCCTAAATAGCCATTAGCGGCTGCTTCGCTAGAGCGTGTGCTTGGGCACCGCTCTCGTGTCTGGCATTGCTAGGGGGGGAGGGTGTGCTTTTGGCAGTTTCTGGGCCAGCGTGCTAGGACAGCGTCTCAGCTGAGACTCTGTGAAAGAAAGCACTGCAAAGGCTGAGGCGCATGAGCATCTTGAGACGCGGCCAGAGTCTTGCTCAGCTTGTGCACTGGCTCTGGCAGTGCTTTCTTTTCCCCAGTCTCAGCTGAGGCACTGTTTCTAGCAAGTCGGCCTCAGACGGCGACAAGGAACATGGCGCCGCCTCAGGCATCTACATCGGCGGCAGCTGCAACCTCAGCAGTAGTGAAATGTGGCCCTCCACGCCACTACACCGCAGAGGAACTAAGGGAGCGGAAGAACAACATTCATGCTTTCGCATTCACAACTCGTAAAAAGTGCTTAGGTGTCCTCGGAATTTTTTTTATGCACTTATGTATATTACTACCTTCCCCGTTGTCCTCCTCTATTCTTTCTCGCACTCTTCTGTCCTCTTCCAAAACGAGTTGGTCTTTGAGCTACTCATCACTGAAAGGAAGAGGGTTTCCTTTTTTTTTCGAACAGAATGGAGAAATTGAGGGGCAGTTTTCTCCTTTCTGGCTCCTTGTTGGCCTTTAAAGCCCATACTTATAAAAAAAAACTAATATAATTTGCACTGCAGTACCAGATGCACTCATGAAAATTTTGTAAAAGAAGCTCAGAGTTATACACTGGAAAATACAGTACTTGCAAACCAAGTGGAAGAATGCCATCTAATTGAATCATTATAAGTCGTATTTAAAAATAAACAAAGAAAAAAACAGATATAATTTGAATTGTATAGTCCAATTCACGATAACTCGGCGAACTGTGGAAGCTGCAGCCCCTGCAGGCCAAGAAGAGCGTCGGAGCAAGGCATGTTATAACCCATCAGGGTCAAGGCCACGGAAGCCTCGTTACCACCACAGCAACAACGCCATCTGCGACAAAAGGTAGTTCTAGACTTCTTTTTCATTCAACGGCATTTGATCTCGTGCGATTCCATTTCTATCAAGAATATATGAAAAGCAGAAATTATGTATTTAAGATGGTATTGACTTCAATTACAGGGGTGGAACTCATGAAATGTATGTGGGAGCAGCCACGGCTGTTTGGGAGCAGGTTGGGAGCAGCTAAAACTACATTCTGGAGCAGGCTAGAGCAGCTCAGATCAGTTTTCATTGCACTTCAGCTTGTGTCTTAGACAAGCACAGGAGCAATTTCAAGTGTGCTTAGCAGCACATAAATATGAGGGGTTATGAACCTAGGTAGATGGGATAACAGTGTAACAGATGCAAAAACTTGGAACTTTGTGAGCCTTAATGAGAACCAAAAAGCAAGTACCATATGTTTCTGAAGGTAGTGTCTGATAATTTCTGAGTGACTTTCAGCTGCTCAAAATGCAAACCACCACTGCTTATCGCACAACCCACACGTGCTCAACATAGTAGTTATGTGTGTGAACCTCGTGATGTTTATCAGAAACAGACGTGCAGTTGTGCGGAGGAACAGGGCAACAAATTTCAAGTTTATACTATTGTGCAACTCAATATCGAAGCAGCAGACTATGATTAACGGAGTTATTGCATTCTAAGCGATAAGCTGGAGCAAGGTTAAAGTACACCGAGCAGATCTACTGCTCGCGTGTGAGCTGCTGGCCGGCGAAGTTTCGAATCGGACCGCGTTTCGGTTCTATCAAATCACGATTTACCTTGCAGGAATGCGGTTTAACTTCTAACAATGAAGTACTAAAAGGAATCTTTTGCTCATTTGTTTTCAACTGGCTGACGTCCGGATCTCGGGCCACAGAGCCTCAGGCAATCTGACGCTTAAAGGAGTGGTGCAACGATATTCAATATGAATGTTTTTTTACTTTACACGTGCTTACTGGCACTAGTGGGACTCTGGGATACTCGCAGGCAACGCCACTGGCCAAGAAACTCCTTTGTTGCGGTGCAATCTCTCCTTTGCGAAATTTGATGACGTAACATGGGGATCACAGTGATGATATTTGAATGTGGTTCATAGATTGGACCCGAGCATTGCGTGGGCACTCGATTTGAGCTCGTGATAATTACTGGCTCGAGAAGCATCCGGGTAGTGGCCCATGTCCAATCGCTGCAACGACGACAATAGCCGAGCCATAACAATGTCTGGAACTCAGCGCATGCCCTGTGCTTTGCCAACACCAGGGCGTGGCTATGATCAACTTTGGCGGCCTATAATCGGCTCCAGATCACGTGGCTGCTTGTTCTGGCTGCGAGTTGAGGGGGTGAACGCTGCTCGTTTTTCTTTAATTTTTTCTGCAACTTCTATTGCGTGGGGTGAAAAACGAACGCGTGTTTCGTAGCTCATTAATGTCAGGGATCCATTTTAAGTGGTATTTGCACGAAGTACAATTGTTGCATCACCCCTTTAATAACTCGACCTCACCTCGGCCGACTTGCTTATCTGCTCATGGTTGAAGGATAACAATCCAGTCGCAGGTGGTGTAGTGCTTGGAATCCGACCCCCCCCGAGATTTTTTGCGCGCTTCCGGTTCGGGATACACAGGGAGAATAAATGCAACAAAGGATTGCAAGGTTGACCAAGCTAAACGCACTCATTGTTGCCACTCGAGTCAATAAAAACCGAAACCAAGACAAAATACAATTTTTGGCGCACGTTTTGCGATTTGGTGCATAATGGAGCGAGGTATTGGTTCATGGTAATAAAACCCGAGACTCAGGAACACAGAAGGGGACGAACACAACACAACGTTTTGTGTTCGTCCCCTTCTGTGTTTCTGAGTCTCGGGTTTTATTACCATGAATCATCACCAGCTCGCCTGTTTTTTAAGTATTATTGGAGGTATTGGTTGTGGCAGTTTCTGCAACATGGCACAGGATGGCACAGACAAATGAGTCTGGTGCAAAATGGCGCAAATGGCACAGCCGTTCCACACCTGCAATTATCTTTAAACCAGAAAAGTGATGCCACACCCATACCTGATCCCGATTCTTTTCTCCTTGTAGCGCCGTGGTCGTTGGCGCCATTCTTTCCTTGTTTTGCTCAACCGGTTCGCAAGTTTAGCCCAAACTCTTCTGACCGCGACACGAAAGAAAGAGTAAGATGGGTTACTTTTGAACAATATTTAATTCGGATTAACCATTTTCTGAGAATAACATAGCTTTTGAACAATGTTTGAACAATCGCAGCCATGTAATCGACCGCTTCCATTCAAAACATTGTCCTGACTTTAACACCCGCGATAGATTCGCAGGTAAATTGAGCGTATGGTTGTATCATGAACTGTTCCCTAAGAGCTCGCTGCTCTAGCGGACTGCAATATTGTGGTGATGGACGTTCATCCGAAGTTGGTTGGTTCTGCAGCAGACGACAGTCGGTTCCTCCGGGCCTTGCATATGACGCAAGGAAACAAATGTGCTTGTGATGTGTGTGTGTCACGTGCCTCTCTCCGAAGCTCTTATTGATCGTGGGGACCGTAGCTTCCAGAGTTTGCCAAGTTATTGTGAAACCAATTATAATAAAAGACGCACTAAAAAAAATTTTGGAAATAAAACCGCTAGTTATACGTTGGAAAATGCAGTACATTGCAAACCAACTAGAAGGTCATCTGACTATATAATTGTAACAGTCGTATTTAATATTCAACTAAGGTGTAAAGGTTGGTGCACCCATTTTTGCTTCCTCTATAATCACCCTGCTTTTGCTCTACAAATTGAATTTGTTGCACCATAAGATGCAACCACTAATATGCTTTGGCGTCATGCAATGCAGGTATCTCTACACCAAAGAAATCGAGGCAGTGAATAAGTGACAAATAGGGACAGCAACTTACAGTTGACCTTAGTGCTGTATGCCTGCAGGGCCACATAACATGTAAAACATACAGCAGTCTGACGGCACAGTATTTGTTAAAGGTCATTAATGAAAGGTGTGCAGCTGTGACTGTGATCTATTCAATATATATACAGGCTCCAATCATTGCACAGTGCATGTTTCAATACTTCTCGCATGAAGCTTTTTTAGTTGGTAACTTTATACAGGGACCCCCTCACAACTGTTGTGAGATTTGTGCACTCTGAAGCAATTCGTTGAAAAGAAAAGTTATTTTTGGCGAGAAACTGCATGACTATAGTGCAGCAAAAGCAAGACAAATATTAAAACTGCTTAGTCTTTGAATTTTTTTCTTCTGGCTTGACCATTTTTTTGTGCTCGTTTTAAATGAATTTCGCAGTGTCCGGACTGCTGTTCGTTGCTCCTTTCCCTCAGCACCCGAGCATGCACAAAGAAGGCAGGCAAGTACATGCACGTATTGGCACTCGCTATACTGACTTTGTAAAAGTTGTGTTTACTTTGCTCAGCAAACTTCTAAAAGAAATGTGATCATAGGTACAGATAGTCTTTGTATCAGTTAAACACAGACACATCAGGTTCAACTTATATGAATTTCTTCTGTCAACCCGGCCACTAGATTGAGGGATCAATTGGCTTTCATATTTTTATAATATCACTTAATTTTGGAAGTCAAATGGGCAAAGGTCAGCCTCACCTCTCTGATCCTCTCGTATGGCAAAAAAGCCAGTGCCGTCAACATCCGCACGGACGTCGCGAAGCTCTTGTCGCGGTTATACCGAGGTTGCAGCTTGTATTCTTGTACGTGTTTGTAGATGGCTTGTCCTAAGTGAAACAAGCACCCGTGGCGCTTTGTGTCTGGCAAGACCTTCTGGATCGCGTTCATTGCAGCCTGCTCAAAGTCCGTCAAAAAAAAAAGTGGACTCAGTTGGTTCCCAGTAGCTTCCTCAACCATATCTGAGAGGTCCTGAAACACAGTAAGTTCAATCCATCACTTGTAGCCATATAGAGGAGAAACTTTTTAGCGTTTATAATTTGCAGGGCACAGGCAGGTATTGTGTTGCCCCCCAAAATCCTTAAAAATCAATTTATCCATACAAATATTCTCTCGTGATCTTACTTTAAAATAACAGTACAAAAATTATTGGTATTTTGCAGTAAACAAACAAAAAATGCCAGTCCTTTTTTTTTGTAATATAGATTTGATTTAAGTTATAATCAATTATATCCTGATGACAAAAGAGTGCACACAAAGCATGGACAATGAACAGGAATGTACAGTCATGAAGATACTAAATAGCTCCACACGAGGAAGCATTTTTTTTCTGAGGAGTGCTTGACTGGTTGCTTGCGTGTGAACTAGCGCTGATGTCGGGACTTGTCGATATGGAGCAGATAGTGGGAACCCATCAACGCGAACTGCCATTTTCATTTGCACCTGTGTCACCGCAGTCCGATTGAAAGGGCAGGGGTGGTCCAGCTGTGCCAATGGCACCATTTTGATAAATTCCCCTTTGCCTGCACGTTGCTGCGCCTAAAGGCACAATTTGCATCAAACTGCTCCAAACTGCGCCAAAAAGAACTAATCAATCCCTAAAAGAATCCTTTTTTTTTATGATAAAGTTTTTGACTGGCAATACGGTGGGTGTGGCGTTTTCGACTGGGAGCCCGGTGGAAAATAGCCATCACAATCCAATCCAGCCTTCCGGCTATGTGGCATTATTGTGTTCTTGCGACCCTTGTGATATGCGGCGTTGTGGCTGCTCATTTGTGCATCGCCGCTGCTAAGTTGTACTGAAGGGGAGCAAACATATTTTTTTTTTTCGTCGCTCCACTGACAGTGCGGGGGTAAAGCCTGATAACTTCTTTCCACCACAGTCCTGTAGAACGCTTATTGAGGGCCTCTGCTAGCATATATCGCAACAAACAAAACGCTACTCTGTGTTTAAGAGGTTAGTGGTAATGTATTATGTTGTGGACTTGTTTGAAAGCTGCAGAGGGGCACTTTGCCAGGGCAGTACTAGTGCTAACCTGCGGTTTGTGATGTGCTGCACGATCTGATTTAACGAATGGGCACTGGTACCACCAATAAAAAACACCACAGAATCGCTATATGTTCATACAGCTCCAAAATGTTTAGTTTTCCTGATACCACGGTGCTCCAAAACAATATTTTCCTTTTTCCAGAAGGGGTATTTATGTGATACAAATTGCTCCCAAATTGGATTTTTCTTGCTCCAAAACCTAAAATGGCGGGACCACCACTAAAAGGGGGACAGGATTCTCGAAACGGCAGATGATAGCAGCAGTTTGCGTTGATGGGCTCCCTAGCTCCCCCCATCTGCTCCACATGGACGAGTCCTGACGTCAGCGCTAGTTCGAACGTAAGCCACCAGTCAAGCGCTCCTCAGAAAAGAACGCCCGCTCACGTGGAGCCATTTAGTATCTGTGTGAACGCATAAACACTGTGTCGCCATTGCAATCATGTCAATAAATATTGGCTCGCACAAAATCAGTATGAAAGTTGTGTTGATAAAAATGGAATTTAGAGCCATCACAGCTATCATAAAGAACTCTGTTCTTTGTTTCCACTGTCCTTGTATTGTGTGGGCCATCGTACCATCGCAGTCGACTACCAACTAACCCAGTGTGCAGTGTGCTGGTACTATTTTACTGTACACCATTTTGTTTTTGCCAAAATTTTAATGCAGAGTAATAAATTCAATCTGACTTTGCATAAAATATAAATGCAAGAAATGTTGCTGTTTTCACTAATAAGAATGTACAGTGCTCCCAATGTTTGAGTGGGCATGTACTATTTTGTTGATGAATATCCTATGGACAACTCTTCATAAAATTTGTTCTACCATATGCTACGTGACGTTTCAACAACTAGAAAAACAACTAGTAGGGCAGTTTAGTGCTTGTTTGATTAAAATGAATGAGTCTAACTAGTATAGTCTTATATATGCATTGTCACATTCAACAATTATCACTTTGCTGTCCCAAACATAATATATTTTACCATACACACTTGTATTTTTAAAATTATAGGCTGGTTAGGGTTCCTGTGCACCCTGAATAATTAAAATAACAAAGTTTTCTAATTATGTGCCAGTGAAGTGGATTTTTCAGAAGATATCTGTCGATGAAACAATCTGTTGACTGCATCACAATGTAGACGAAATGGTTTCATTATGAATTACATTTGACAACACATCCGTCGCAAACTTTTTTCTACAATATGTAATATTTGAAGGGTGTCAACCAAAATTTTCAAATTCCCTGACTTTTCCAGGCTTTCTCTGTCAATTTTATCAGAATTCTCTGACCAACCCCATAAAAGGACAGGACGTGTCTGGACTGAAGCTTTGTTTTTATGTGAAAAACACTGGTATATCTGTTGACCAGCAGGCTGGTGTCCAAGCATTGGATCCTATTACCTTGTCAGTCTATTCTTTATTATTATTTGTTGAATAAATATCTGTTTTTAAATAAACCACTGGACAAACAAGTTACTTAAAGTGCAGAAAAAGAAGTTTGCAGGGTGTGTAGCAAATTATCATTTTGAAATTCCCTGATAATTTCCGGTGAAATTCCCTGACCACTGCAGAGGCGGTTAAATATATAAGACCATTAACAACACAAGGCAGTGACCATTGAGCACTATGAGGATCATTTTGCACGGGCTTAATCCAACTTGCATATTCCGAAATATTCGGGTTCGTCCAGTCCGGGTTAAGCCGGCAATTTCTTGCCGCCGACATCGTCAGTGAAGAGTCCACTTTTGAAACAAAATGAAAACACGACGCTCAACCACACACGTTCATAACCGAATGGCAGCATGGCCGCCAGATGCACACTTTCGGATACTTTTGGCTTAAGGTTTGGATTGGATTGGGGTCTGCGGCTTTCCTATTTGTTACTAAATCTAGTTGCTCCAACTGGATCTAGCCTAGTGTTGCGTCCTCTATGCAATCTAATCCGAGGTTTGGACTGGATTTGTCGGCTATTTTCGTTGCATCGGGTTGTACACTCTACACCGGGTGAGCAGAGCCCGCACTCCGCTCTAAGCAGAATTTATTGCCTATTTCTCTGCCCCCAAGTCTTTCCTCAGGGCACTCGATGGCGTTTCCGGCTCATTTTTCCTGACTAGGCTTGCTTTTTGACAATATCCCTGACTTTTCCCAGTAATTAAAATTTCCCTGACAATTCCCGGTTTTCCCGGTCGCTAGACGCCTTGAGTTTGTCTTAGTGCAAGCATTTCAAGAAGGTGCGATTCAGGTACTGCCAAGACTAGTTTCCGAACAGGGATTTGTGTCAGCACGCCAGTTGAGCCGCATGCAACGTGTTTCACACCACAGACACCTTGTTTGCAGTCGCTCAGACAAAGGAAAGCTCAATTTCCCTGACCGAGGCTGATTGGAGTGGAACTGAATTTTTCCTGTTTTTTCTATATTCACCAAATTCCCTGGCAATTAAGGTTTTCTTTGTTTTCCAGGTTGGTAGGCACCCTGTGTATGGCACAGGATCGTTTATGTACCCAAAGTGCTATTTTCACAGGAGCATGTAGTTGAGAGTGTGGGAATGGGCTTATAAGGCTTCAGCCAGGCCAGCCCTCCCAAAGTCTAGGTGACCTTGTATGCATTATGTCTGAGCCTCCTCTAAATGGAGATCAGCTCTCGCCTTTTTGCTATACTTCATTTTAGCTTAGGTCCAAGCGCGGCCTATATTATGAGCCGAAGGGCCAATCATACAGCGCAAAAAGCTCAGTGTCATGGTGTGCTCTCTGCGCTTTATAGAACAAGCTGGCAGAAGAGCATGCACAGAGAAACGGTGAATACCGGCTGGTCCTATCAACTGCAGAAAGCATGCCATGACGTTTTGCCTCTTTCGCTGTTTGATTGGCCCTTCGGCTCATAACATCGGCCGCACTCGGACCGAAGCTGGAACGAAGTATAGAGGCTTGCATTTCGAAAAGAGGCCTGTTTATGCCAGCCAGAAGCAAAACTAACCTTAAAAAGGCGGATGTACGCTGCCTCAGTCTTTCGCGTCATTAGGACATAGACCAGTGGCACGGACTTGTTGTTTTGATGGAAATCTTCGACCCTTGCATGGATTGTGTACAACTGGGCAAATATCCTGGGGACGGTCTTGAACGTACCATCGCCGAGCAAGGTGACTGCCTGAAAAGTGGGAAAATATTTAAGATTACTAAGGCATTAACAACTGGTTTAAAATAAAAAAAAGGGAAAATAAAATTCAAAATTGACATAAAGCTCAGTCGAAAAGTTAAAAAGAAAGGGATTGGTTTAACACAAATCTATACTCTTCGGCATTCCTTAAAGCCGATGGTGAAAACCTTTCATCATAAAAAAGAACTCCAGAAAGGGGAAAAAGTGAGGCACTAGTGGAGAATTGGTGCAGTCATCTCCAAGCTCATGTATGCTTCACTTCTTTTTTAGCTTTAGCAGTGCTTCAGCTGTACGTTTCATGACAGCGGAATCACTTTAGATGATTTTGTCGTCATTGTGGACGGTGCAAGTGAGAGTATTTGTACTTCGCTGCTGTTCCCTATGTTTGTATCTTCCCTTGAGGCCACCTCTGTACATCTAAGTCCTTGCTACTTGCGCTGTTTCTCATACAATTGGCAAACCAGCAGTCAGAAACCATGTAGGTGGATATAAGTGTGATGTTTGTGGAGTTCTATAGAAAAATGGTCTTGCCAGTTGGAAAAGCAATATCATATTCGATTTTCTCATAGACTTATCTGTTCCTCTGAACTACTGGAACAAAATTTCAATTGAATATGTTGGTGATAGTTCTGTGGTACATGTACAGTACAAGACACAGTGAGCAGAAACGCTCAACCACCGGTTTTGTGTTTTTTTATGGCCTTTAGGAGCCGTGTATGGACGAAATCAGACTGCGGGAAAGTACTCTTTGACAGTGACATGTATGAGTTGAATACAAGAGAGTGCCTATCCTATACTTCAGCTATTGTGCATATATGTGCACGTCAAAGTGTAAG